TTTTATTTTATTTTTTATTATTTTTAAAATTGTATTGTTAGTTTCAGGTGTACAGAACAATGCAATAGTTATTCTTTTCACCCTCACAAAGTAACAACCCCCCTCCCCCATCTACTGCCCTCCCACCCCCGATATCATGCTTATCTATTACAATTCCATTGACTTCATTCCCACTCTCTACTCCATGTCCCATGACTATATGTATATATAATTACAGTTGACATACAATATTATAGTAGTTCTTTGATAACATTGCAAGTTTAAAAGTGATTATTGCCATAATCATCATAGATTGATATTCAGCTCATCTTGAGAGTATGGCAGAGTGGGGTTCCCCTTGGCTGTATGTCTTGGGTTAACTGTGAACCCAGGTCCAAAAAAATCCTGAGGTGAATGATGCCAGAGGGCAGTTAATGCCTGACCAGTTGAAAAACTCTGAGACAGAAGAGAAGAGATAAACTACAGTGAACTGAATGGGGGATGGAGATGCTGGTAAACACAGGCAGGTCTGAGCAGGAAAAGAAGGAAGAAAATATGAGTATGTTGGGACACAGGCATCCCTTTCATTCTTTTCATGCTTCCTGCAGATTGGATGTGAAGCTTTCATGTGGGAGGTTCTCAGCAAACAGTTGTTATTGTCATCATTGTCACAGGGTTTTCACTCATCAAACTGGAATGTGATTCATCTGAACCTAGAGATATGAATTTATCTAAAGCAGCTATTTCATTCATATATCTCAAGATGCAATTCTATATTAACTATGTTTATGGCACTCTTTCTAGTTAAGTATTATTTTCCTGAGTAGGAAAAATGGAAGTCAGGGTTCGTATCCTAAGAACCTTAATGCTGAAAAGCTCCTTATTTACTACTGGATGGAGGTCTCATAGCTCCTTAGTATTTGCTTTATTTTATTGGTTTGAAATAGTGTTTTTTCTTGGCACGTGGGGCAGTCTGCTTTCTTGTTCTCCTTAGATTCCTCTTCTATTCCTTCTTCTTTGCTGGTTCACCTTCTTCAAGTAGGCATTTAAATGTTACACTTCTTCAGGGCTCAGTCTTATCCCTACCAAGGACCAGTGATCATATTCATCTAGGTTTCAAATACCATTTTTATGTTAATCTCAAATTTCCATCTGCACCTCTCCTCTGAACACCAGATCTGCATATCCAACTATTTGCTCATCATCTCATTGTCTTGCAGTCATCTCGAACTCATGATAGCTAAGGCCAAACATATCTTCTCCTCACACCTGAGTTCCAAAACTCAGAATCATGGTACTTCCCCGCACTTGTTTAAGCCAAAAAAGCTTGGGAGTCATCCTTGGCACTTCCCTTTTCCTCATCCCACATCCAAATCATTATCAACTCTTGTTTATTTTATCTCCTAAGTATCTCTTTAATCTTTGCTTTCCTTCCTATTTACTGTCATCCCAGTTATCCAAAGATACATCCCTACTTGTGGACCTCTATCAGTCTTCCTGAGTCTGCTTTTGTGCCCTTAGTATATATTCTTGTATTTCTCATCATATTCTGGTTAAAATCATCTAATGACTTTTATTGTCCTCATGAAACAAAACTTCTTAACTTGGCCTACAGACCTACATTGTTTGCTTCTTGCTTAGCTTTCCCAGCCTCATCTGTCACCACTGTCCTTGCTAGAGACCAGCACATTATGGCCATGAATTGCATTCTTCCAAAGTTGCCATACACGTTCCCACCAGAGAGTCTTCATATGTGCTGTTTCCTCAACATAGGACACGCCCACCCTCATGCCCTTCCCCATCTAGCTATGTATGATCTGTTCATCTGAAAGCTCACATCTCACCTTATTTGCTCAAGGATGGCCCTGTACTGGTCAGGTCTTGCTATATGCTTGCAAGTGTTTGAGTCTCATGACTACACTATTTATATTGCCCAATACCTAACATGTAGTGGGCAATCAATAAGTGTTTGTTGAACGGTTTTGTGGCAGTAGGGAGAAATGGCATTGGCTCTCTCTTCACCAAGTTACTAAGATGCTGAGATGGATAGTCTATGGGACCTTTAAGAAATTGGGTACATTTTTGATAATTATTAAGCTGCATAATCAATAAAAATTAACAGGTAGGTAATATCCAGAAAAACTATAGAAAGCGTTTCAGAAAAGAAACTTGAGAAAAAACCTGAAGGTTTAAAAAGGAAAGATAAGGCATGGATTATAAATTAGATGAAGGCGAAGAGGAGAATGATGAAAGAGTAGTTTAAAAAAATCACCCTTATATTTATTAAACACTCTATAATTTTAATGTGCTTTTGGGCCCATTGTTTTGATTGATCTTCACAAGAGTGATGTAGACAGGGCAAATATCTTTCCCGCTTTACAGCAGTCTGTGTTGAGGTAAATGAGGTTAGGTGACTGGTCCAAGGTTATATATCAGCTTGACAGAAGGTAGATCCCGGACTAGAAGCTGGTCTCTAGATTTTTATTTAATTAAATTAATTAATTTATTAATTAATTAAGTTATTTGTTTGTTTACTTTTATGATGGCAGTTTCCTTTATTAGTTGGTTATTTTCTTTACAGGCGAGAACTTATCTCTCAGAACGCCATTGATTTCTGATGAGAAACTGGACTCTCACCTAGGTTCCTTCTGTCGCCTCTGCCTACAGCTGACACAGCTGGACTTCCCCAGGTCTTTTTGTCTCCAGAGCTCGGGCTCTCACCGCAGACTCACTGCCCGCGCTTTCTGACTCTTCGGCGGTCTCGTTGTAAACGTGCTTTCCCCTCCTGCCCACCCGCACTGGGTTTTCTCCCAGCCGACGGCAGGCGGGGCCGGGCACAAGGTCCCTGCACCCCGACCCGCACCGACCACCTGCTCCTGACTGGGCTCAGTCCCATCTGAGAGCAGTCCCGAGAACCGGAAGGGCAGGGGTCCCCCTAACAAGTCCCGCCGGCTCTGCACTGACGATCCCGCCTGGGGGACTCCCGGGACTTGCCACTCCCTCCTCCCCTGACACAAGCCCCCACCCGCTTCACGCTGGTCTCCAGGTAGCTCAGATTCCCCATCACCCCCGCGCTCCAACTTTAGATACAANGAAGAAAACATCTGTCTAAATGGGCAAAATAATGATACATGATACTGAACATGCACCAGCTGAATAGCAGCAGCCTGAGTAATGTGAGCTCAGAACAAGAAAGAAGTACTAGAATCCTGTAAGTCCCTCACCACCACCACTAACTTCTAATACCGTTGATTGTTTGCCTGCTTTTATACTTTGTATGAGTGGAAGCACCCAGTAAAAATTATATCTGGCTACTTTTGCTCAACATTGTTTTGAGATTTTTATGTCAGTTTTTAGTTTAGTCAACAGCTTACCCATAGATTGTCTTTTGTCCGGAACAGAAAAGCTAGGAAGTAGCTTCTAAAGCAACTTTTTAATAATTGTGGAATTGATGTTACATGTATTTCAAGTGTGTCTTCCATGTATGTTGGCGCCTGGGAATGCCAAACCTAGGTAAAAATTGAAAACTGGCTGGTCTTCCCCTCATAACCAAGGAAAGACAGGTGAAGAGTATAACCTAACCGCCTTCCACTGCTCTTACCTGATCTCTCATAAGCTACGGATAGGATATTCTCTTGTCAGGGCATTTTGTGGGCACAGGATTTCTATAAGTATATAAGGAACAGTGTAATTCTACCAATAGAGACTAAAAGGGCTGCAGTAGATAAAGCAGGGGATGAACAGGTCTTTGCTGGGATAGTGAAAGAATTTGAAACAAGCCTAGTTTCTTTGGCCAAACAGCCTTGGTTTGACAACATTGTAGGTTGATACTTGTGTGGTTTGGAACATGTAACCTCTATGGGTTATGAGAATTGAGTGAGTTAATACAGAAAGTTGTTGAAACAGCCTGTTATCTGTACTATTGTGTATTCAGTACAAATCTACCAGAACATTTATATCTCAGGTTTCCAGTATCTTTATAAAATAATTCCAGGGAAGTCTGGAATAACATGTTTGTGTGTTTTCCTTCTAGA